TTGTATATTTTTTTTATTTTTAGGCCAGGTGTGTTGCCTTTATCCCATGGTATGTATTGCATGTACCCTGTATGCTGAAGCAATGTAGAGAAGGGGGAGTTATGGGCTATGACTGCCATCTGCAGACAATTCTGTGTGACTGCTATAATAAATAAGGTTCAACCAAAAATGTTAAATAAGCTCACACGAACAAAAGGTCTTTTTTTCAGTTACAAATATAATGTCTTCACAAAGCTAATTTTAACCTTTGCAACCATGCTTATTGAGGTTGTGTGGCAGCCTATGGGTGGTAGACAGCAGCTCCCTCTGCGTACCGAGCGTGGCCGTCTCACAGCAGCCAATCACGTTGTAGATAAACACACAATATTGCGTCATTGTTATTGTCCTCGTTGGGGCTCCAGCTGCTTACACAGATTTCGCCACCATTTCGCTCACATTTAGGCCTCTAACACAGCGTAAACGAGTGGACCCGCAAGAGTATACCGGTACAATGTCGCTGCAAAAGGACAATTCATCGGACGAAAGTTTGCAAGGTAAAGTATAGACGACAAAAAAAAAAAAAAAAAAAGCTAGTAGCTCATGGGTGTTGATGCTAGCGCTGGCCTATAGTTTAGAAAACGCGGGCTAACTCATGTTAAATCAGCTAGCCAGCCTGAGCTGAACAGCTGGGGGTATTAAGCTTACTACCTAGATTAAAGCTGAACGTTACTACGATATTTTACCGACACGGAGAGGCCAATAAGAGGACAGCCCGTCGGCCTCGTTAGTTAATGAGGCTTATTTTGCAGTGTTGCGAAATCAAAATGCCTTCAAGCCAAGAACAGTCCGTATCTGTTTATTGTTATGCTGCACCACTAGCCTGCTGTCAACGACTGTGTATTTGATTTAAGGTTCCTGGGTTGAGCTGCATTTCAGTGGCACTGGCTCTCAAAGTGCCAGCCATCACGGCAGCCAGGAACAAATCACCACGTCCGTCCAGGAGGGAGACGTGGAGAAAATGCTGCTAGAGGCACAGCATGAGTCGGGCAGGAACAGCTCCAGAGGAAGCTCTCAGTGCAACAGGTTTGTGGGAGGAAAAGGGGGAAGCATGTTTGTTTTGTTTTTTTGGTCTTATGCGTTGTGTAATACAGATATTCAAGAAGTGATATCTCAGATGTCTTACGTGACCTAAAGTTGTGTTGTTGTCTTCTTCACAACAGCCCACGCAGAGCACAGACCCCCCTGCTTGTGTGGAGAGGCTCAGAGGGAAACAGCTCACAGGTATGCTTGTTGGAACCACTGACCTGTGTCAGTCTGTTTAATGTCTGATTAAATACCGTACGTGTAGTTTTATTAAATAGTTCATTTAATGGTGTAATGTTGTTTTTAAATATCAACCAACACAATTGGTGTTTTTTAGTCAGATGAAGACTTCCAAGAAAGGAGACGGGAGGTAGAGAACCTGATGAAGAAAAATGCCGACTGGATCTGGGACTGGTCTAGTCGACCTGAGAACAATCCACCAAAGTATGTAGCCACCAATAATTTAGTATTTATTTATTTTGAATTTTTTTTTATCTAAGTGGTGTTCTCAGTAAACATAAATATTCCCAGATTTGATTCAAAATTGTTCTTACACGCACAAGCTGAAACATATTTTATGCCACGATTTGTAATTGTAATTCACAGAAAATATGTGTGAGCAGATGTGTCGGTATGACATTAAGACCGGCACTCATTGATTTTAATGAATTCAAAACTGTGAAAAATTAATGTGCTCCTCTGTAGGGAGTTCCTGCTGAAGTACCCTAAGCGCTCGACCTCCCTCAGCATTAGGAACACCAGCGTCATGAAGAAGGGAGGCGTTCTGTCTGCTGACTTTCTGAAGCTTTTCCTGCCCTCATTAATCATTTCTCACATACTTGCTGTTGGCCTAGGGTAAGCAACATTGGGAGGGATCCATAAAGAACCATTTAAGCCCAGATTTTTGACCACATACAATTAATGTATATTCACGTAAATGATGTAAAAACAATTGCTGATATGGTATTTTTCAAATAGTCAAACATAATAATACAGACATGTTTTCCCACCGTTCAGAAACATCACTGATGCAAACAGACCTTTAATTGCTCTAACATAACATGAATAATTTAGTGGTTGTCTAGTGTTAGTCTGGGCATTAAATTACCTGGCAATGTATAATGCTCCCTATTTATTGGATAGGTAATGTAAACTATTAGTGTGCTCGGGCTTTGTTCCAAATCCTAACAGTAGACTTGTTACTCAGTTTGGTCTGGTTTGTCAAACATATTTTGGCTTAGAAGAAGCAGACAATATGGAGGAGGAATTTGTCTCTAGAGCACTACTCCAACACAGTGTCTTAGCTCAACTTGTCACATATTATGGCACAGATATCTTGTTTGAGTAACAAATCTATGGTGATGAAGTTGAGGCAAAATTATTTTTGGAGAATTTAAAAATTTACCCAGATTCTTGTTTGTTTCTGTCCTTTTTTCAGGATATATATTGGGAAGCGTCTAACCTCCCACAACACCTACTAAAAAGGATGGAGATGTTGCGACTCCTTGTCACCTTGATGTGACCGCCTGGGCATGCCTTAAAATGGGACCTTCTGAATATCAAGGGAGATGTGGCCACGTGACAGTCCAATTTGATTGAGTGCACCCTGTCACTCAGACCAGCGTGGAGAGTTGAGGATCTGTCAATGCTGTTTCATGGCGTATACTCCTGAACACAACAGTGGCCAATCCTCTGCTCCTTGCTGTAGTCCCTGTCCTGGCCTGGAGATGACTGTTTTGCTGCTTCCTGCTCCTTAAATCTGCATGTTAGGGAACTGGTATATAATCTACATCATTGCCTTTTTCTTTTTGCTGTGAGAAGTCACTTTTTGACTCAAAATGATATGTCCAAATGATTTTTTAAAATCAGTTGTGGATAAAGGAAATTGTTTTGACTTGTAATTTCTTTTTTTTGTCCAAGGGATCATTAGCCTAGTGTTTAAGTGATTGCATCAATTATTCATTGCTCTATTTGTGCAATTGTATATTGTGATTCTAAGCAAATTGCATACGAAGCACTGATATGGTCCATTTTTGTTCATTCTACACTAAATAAAAAATTGAAAAAACCTGTATGGTCCTCATTGATTTACAAACCACTTAATATATAGAAAATGGAGCAGACTGTTTACCAAAGGAAAGGACCACATGCAGATGAACACAATTAAAATTTTATTGAACTTTGGTCAAAATAATAAACAAGTGAATACATTGCCACCATGTTAGGAATCAATGGACAAAGACAATGCATTATTATGTGTTTGTTTTAATGTCATCAGTATATGTTTTGTGTAGTCAACCTTCGTTTCTGCATTCACAACTACGGCGATAAGATCCACATTTGCAATACGCGGTTCAAATTTGGGTGACATCCCTAATAAATGAATAAGGGCACATGTATGAGGCCTGTCTGAATTTTCCTACTTATTACACAATTCGGAGGCACTCTTATCACAAACTGTATGATGTGCAATTTTCCTCCTTTGTATTTTCATAGACAGCCACATATAGCAGCAGTATATGAGGACATAACTATAAAATAGGATTTACAAATAATGCACATGAGGTTTGTAAAACGTTTGGGGACATAACTTGTAGCTGTCACTGATAGAAGTAGGTATTAAGGCTGCAGATTCCCTTTGTCCTGGGCCCCATCTTGTGCCATGTAGTTTCCAGCCTGCATCCTAAAACATGGTCAAAAACCAGAAATGAATCTCTTGACACAAACACATTATTGGTTGTCTCCAACAGTGGTTCTGAAACTGGTAGCCCCAAATAGTATTTCCATAACAGGTTTGCTTGAGATCTGCTCAAAGACAGTGGTGTGACTGGACATTTTTCCACCTCTCTACAACATAAAAACATGCAAAGCAATAAACATGTTTTAATACATACTTCTAAATTTAAAAACACATCTGTAGTTTTAGTTTCTTTTATTATGTGGATGACAAGGTGTACTTGAGTAGATACAGTCAGTGAAATTATGTCACCGTATTGACTGGGGTAAAGTAAGAGGAGGGAAGGGGAGAAAAGAAACAGGTCCACTTTCCAAATTCATGGCCTCTTCCACCAGAAGTTTGGCCAGAATACATGGCCAATGGGGGAATGTTACAGTTAGGCTTATTGGCCATTAATCCGTGCTTCAGAGGGCCCAAAATCTTTGAGATGATGTTACAACTTTGACAAGACGTCATTTTAAGGGCTTCCAAGAGTTCTGTCATTAAATCATGAAATGAAGGCTTAAAATGTCAACACAAACACCAACGTTCAAGAGTTTGACCTCTAGGGAGTGCCATTCCATCAATTAGACCCGAATTGGGCTTTCTGGGTCAGGGGGGCATGTTGATTGCCCTGGTGCCAAAGGCAAAAACAACCTAAGCTCAGACTCAAAATAAAACAGGCCTATGGATCAACCTCCTGTGGCAAAAAAAGTAGACACGTGCTTTCGAATTCTTCACCAGGAGGACAACGAGGCTGTTTCTTCTTATACAGATAGACAAGTAGTAGGCTTAACTACACAGGTACGGTAAAAGCCCTATCCTCTGGAGCCCCAAATCTTCTAGTTGATTTTGTCCTGGAAAATGTACAAGTTGTTGGTGGCTGCCACAGCTATCACGTTATCTTTGGGGTGCCAGGCAGTGTGGAGGATCTTCTTGTTGAAGTCCAGGCTGTCCACGCTGATCTCATCCTTCTTCCTCTTGCCACCAGTGGACACTTTGCGTGGTTTGAGCGTAGCCCGTGGTTTGCTGCTCTCCCGGGACGCCTCCAGTGTGATGTCCCGCCTGGTGTTGCGGTCGAACATTCGGAAGAAGTTGTTGTAGGAGCCGGTCATGATGGCACTGATGGAGAGAGAAAATTAAAAAACTGTCCATTCAGAGAACATAAACCAATAAAATATACCCGTAAATGAAACTAACCACAGGCCGGTAGCAGGTGAAATGATAGCCAATGCAAGAACAAGGACACTCACCTGTCACTGCCATTCCAGCAGCACTCGAACTTGTCGAAGATGCAGTCATTTTCATACAAGGAGCAGAGTTTACTGCGAAGGTATTCATGGACCTGAAACAAAACATACGACTTAGCCTAAATATTAAATGAGCCAAATGCCTACATCTGCATAGACATCATTTAAGTGTAAAAGGGCTCTACACAATTCTTGACCTGCGTGAGGCTTGTGAGGCTTTTTTTTGTTTTTGTTAGTTACAAGGACCTTGCATGCCATCCCAAAGTCATATTTTGTATTTCTGTATGATTTTTTCATTACCAGCTTCAAGAAAATATTTTCGCAAAAAAAAGATTCAAAATTAGGGTTAAAAACAGTTATATTCTAAAAACAAAGATAAACTTTTTGTAAGATAAACAGTTTATGTAAGATATGTTTTATGTAAGGCCTGATTGAACCTGTCACGTGAATCCGAGAGATCATTTAAAAAAACAGCGTAGTGCTTATTTTGTTCTCACAACTCAGTTATATATACTTAAGAAGTCACTAGAGAAGTGTGTTTATGCACCTGATACGTCTCCACTGGCCTGTTCTCCATGTTGAGGTCCCAAACTTTGACGGAGAGGTAGTCACGTGTCATCATATAGCGTCCGCTGTGACTGAACTTCACGTCCGAGATGGAGGAGATGATCTCAGAGAAAAAGGACCGGCTGCTTGGATCCTCAGGCTCCTCAAAGACTGAGAAAAAAAAAATAAAAAAATCATCACAATACTTATTTCTAAAATCATTCCCATGGAATGGACTTCTGACTGACCGACAATCAATTTCTAGTCATATTCAAAATGCAGAAAAGCAGGAAATTGAAATATTAGATAAACTGTTATTAAATCCATAAATAACTTAATTGCTGCATCAATTTTTTTCTACATTTTCCCCAGATAGACTAATTGACTAAACATTGCAGCAGTACAATGGAGGTACTTACACTTTGAGTGCCTATCGCAGAGTGCTGCTGCTCTCATGTCACACAGGCGGATGGTTCCTTTGCTACTGCTGTACACAAATACATTGCATTGGTGTGGATGGCACTCAGCAGCTGTGATTACTTCTGTCAGTTCCTCCATGTTGGCGGGCTTGATGTCTACAATATCTGGGAACACACTGTTAAGGAACTAGCAGACTAATGTTTCATTATGACACAATGCAGGCCATATCAGACGATAAGCCACATATCGAATGCGTTTTCTGATGCAGAAAAAGGATACTAAAACTTCTGTCTGTGATTTCCAAGTGCCATAGATTTATTCTTAGGTCATCTGCGGAGAGGTACGTTTCATGATCACTATTTACAGAAATGGAATTAATGTGATAGGTGTGCGCATTTGCAAAGATCCTCCGTGGGCTTGCTTCTACCATGAGATCCATTGGCATCAGTACTGGTACCTGAAACATACAACATGCACCTTCAGAGAAGATTTTAAAGACATCAAAAATGAGACAGGTGTGACATATCACTAAACGTACCCGTAACGAGGTGATTCTAAAAGGGTCTCTGAGTCGTCCATCTTCATCTTTCAGGTTGTAACCTTCTGCTCGTTTATCTCTTTCACTTATTTTCCACAATTTGATAGTTTTATCTGACGAAAACAGATAAGAAAGTGGTCAAATTTAGAGGTGAAGAACAATTTTTTGATAGGGATCGAGATACGTTGCACAGATCAAATCAATCAAATCACCGAATAATCAAAATGTGTACGAAGTAAACTCTTACCATTTGTCGAAAGTAGAAAGTGAGCAGCATTCTGTTGGGGTAGCCATCTTATTTTATTAATCTTTTCCTCGATTTCTAAACTTTTCAAATAGTCAAATTCTGGCTCGTGACTCTGAAAAGTGCTATAGACGTTGTACTCCCCGCGCAGGTGTGGACGATTCTTGGACTGTGAACAAACACGGCAAACATAAGTCACAAGGTACGTACACATGATCATTGCAGCCAGGTCAGCATATAAAGTCTGACATTATATACTGTGAATGGAGATACTCGTCTCTTATTCCATGTGCACCTTACCTCCTGTTCATGTTGAAATATCACTACTCTGCCTCCTTTATCTCCAGTTGCAAGCAATTCTCCAGAATAGTTGAACTCAACTGTTGAGATTATGTCAGCTGAAAACAGAAATCAGACATAAAAAGCTCAGCCTCCACAATGACGGTCTGTTTACAGCTGATACCATGCTACTGTGTAAGACTCCGGTTCAGGCACACTCACAGCCAAACACGCACAACACGCACAACACGCACACCCACTCATGTATGAATGAATGAAAACAAGCATGATGTCACTCCACAATTTATGGACGCGGCACATTGACGTCACGGACACGGTCGCTCCCCTTTAATAGCTTAGCCACCACCTAGCACACGGCTAGCTAGCAGAAACACAGTCATTTCCAAGAGGAAAGGGCGTCCGCACAAAGCATCCGCAGACACACTCACACCGATCGCGACAGCCATCTTATACCAGAACCTGTTCGACCACCTAGCTGTCGAGCAGGCGGTCGTGAAGCCCCCACAGCAGCATCACCATCATCCGACCATTTAGCTAGCTACCCAGCGCTTTAGCCTAGCCGCCGAGCTAACGTTAGCCACATACCTTCCGCAACATCTTCATCTATGGCTCCTTTCACTTGAGAGAAACACCACTGGAAATCATTTCCTCCTGCAACTCCTGTAAAAAAAAAAACAAGAGACAGGACCACGGCGTTAGTTCGTATCCCGTTCGCGTTTCGCCCGGCGATAGAAAATGACCCGACAGTGACACAGTTTGACAACTAGCCGACGTTAGCTCGCCAGCGCTAACGTCGGCGAGCTAACTTGCAGATTGGGGCCATCACACACAGTGAGGAGGGTCCTTCTCCTCCCTGCCAAAGCAGCTCACCTGCCATTGCTTCATGTAGCAGCTCTTGCTGTACACGGCTTCCAATACCTAATCAACCAATGCGGCTTGCTCGGGGGAACAGATAGCATCCACAATCAGTGAGAACACTCGGGTCCAGATCTGTCAAGACCACGGAAATTATCCGTGATTTTTTTTTTTTTTTTTCTTCCAAAATGGCGCACGG